CCATTACCTAGCTGGCCTGGGAGGAGAGCTGGCTTGAAGAGAAGGTAGGGGGCAGTTCTGCCTGCAGTGTTGTTGACCCTAGTTGGCCATCCCCTTGACAGCAGTGGTTACTTTGGAAGCTGGGCTGAGTGAAGGGCTTTACAGCTTAGAGCAAACAACGTCTGTGGCTCTGACCTGGAGCCCTTCAACTCTAGGGCAGGTCCATTTCCAGTGACACAACTCTTGGCTGGCACAGCTGCCAGGGCTCTTCATAAGCCAACTTCTGCTGAATCAACTTCCCACATAGAAAACCAATGCAGTGGACTGGCCTGTTGGGTCTCCTTGATGGCAGATCATTGTGTAAAGCAGCCATTAATTGGCCTGCCACCTATCTTTACATTGCTTCTGCAGCCTAGCTTCATCTTCCTCCTGGTTTTTGTTAAAACAGACCAGAGGAAACTTTTAAGAGGATGCAAGGCAAGGGATGATCCATCCCTAATCTTTGGTGGCCTAAACTAGAATCTGTAGTCACAGGCATGTTCTGATAGTGGTTTGTCTTTGAGGTAAACAATGACAATGAGGAAAGCTGTGTCAAAATGATAATTTATCTATAAAATTTTAAGTTATTAAAACTCTCTCCCTTTGTTTATTTTAAAAAAAGACTTTGCCATGGGTACAGTAAACAGGCAAAGTAATCTAGGTGTTGAATCATAATTTAAGCTCTCATTTTGGCTATGCTATTTCGATCCATGTCTTATGAGAAGCTTTTTATCAATTTGGGAAGGTGAGGTCTAATGTATTGGCATTAACACCTACAGGGCAAGGCCAAATTCAGGTAAAACAAAGTTCTGAACAACTACATCATGTACCATATACATAGTGGTAGAGCAATTCCAAGGACAGATTGCTATTGGGTGAGGTGACTCTAGAAAGTGATGGAGAGGCCAGTGTTGTGGTGTAGCAAATAAAGCCAGTGCCTGCAATGCTGGCTTCCCATGTGGGTGCTGGTCCACTTCCAATCCAGTCCTGGCTGCTCCACTTCTGATCCAGCTCCCTGTTAATGGGCCTGGGAGAACAGCGGAAAATGGCCTGAGTCCGTGGATCCCTGCCACCCATGTGGGGGACCTGGAAAAAACTGGCTCCTGGCTTCAGACCAGCCATTGCGGCCATTTGGGGAATGAACCAGCAGATGGAAGATCTCTCTGTCTCTCCTTCTCTCTCTGTAACTCTGCCTTTCAAATAAATAAAAAAATCTTAAAGTAATGGAGCAAGGCCGGCGCTGTGGCACAGCAGGTTAATGCCCTGGCCTGAAGCGCCGGCATCCCATATGGGTGCTGGTTCAAGACCCGGCTGCTCCACTTCCAGTCCAGCTCTCTGCTATGGCCTGGGAAAGCAGTAGAAGATGGCCCAAGTCCTTGTGCCCCTGCACCCATGTGGGAGACCCGGAGGAAGCTCCTGGCTCCTGTCTTTGGATCGGCGCAGCTCTGGCGGTTGCAGCCAATTGGGGAGTGAATCATCAGATGGAAGACCTCTCTCTCTGTCTCTCTCTCTGTCTCTGTCTCTCTGTCTCTCTGTCTCTGTCTCTCTCTGTCTCTGTCTCTCTGTCTCTGTCTCTCTGTGTCTGTCTCTCTGTGTCTGTCTCTTTGTCTCTGTATGTGTGTAACTCTTTCAAATAAAATCTTTAAAAAAAAATAATGGAGCTTCAGCTGCCGATGCTACATTGACACATATTTTTATAAAGACTAAAACAGACATTTGTAAGTGTAGAGACTTAGGCAAGTCATGAGGAATAACCAATTATTATAAAATTATTTTGAGCTCTTTTCTACAGTACTTTTGAGACTAAGAAGAAGTCAAAATAATATGCACTTGTCTACAGCAATTTATGGTTTAGTTGTAGAGAAGATATTCAGTTTTTGAGAAGATATAGATAAGAATGTTTGATAATGTGACAAAGGAAAAACAAACAGGAAATTAAAGGAAAATCCTAGAAATATCCGATGAAGAGACATTCTGAGGATTAGTGACAGTATGGTGATATGGAAATACTTTACACAGTCAAATATGGATTGTTGATCCGTTAAGATTGGGTTTAACTGTGTACTCTGATACTTATGAGGCATGTGGCTTTGATGAGCCTCCTTCATTTACAAAACTAGGGTTGGGTATGTTAAGTTTTGAGTTTCTATGAAAATTGTCAGTGATGGATGCAAGGTTACTCCAAAGGGAAGCCCTATAATGAAAATGCTTCAAAAATTAATCTTAGTAATTGTTACATAACTCAACATATGAATCCACTGATCTGCATATTTTAAGAGGATGAATTGTAAAGTTTTATAGATATGGATAGATATATCTAAGTCTCTAAATTTCTCAAATATAAATTTACTATTTGAAAATAAATTTGCCATATGATCCGTTTTACTCCCAAGTATCTACAGAATAATAAAAACGCGTCTACACAAATTTATACTCAAATGGACATAATAATGTTTTTTTAAGATTTTTTTTTAATTTGAAATGTAGAGTAACAGGGAGAAAAGGAAAGACAGAAATCTTCCATCTGCTGGTTCACCACCCAAATGGCCACAATGGCCAGAGCTGGGCCAGAGTGAAGTTAGGAGCCAGGAGCATCTTACACTAGTATGGGTGTGGGGACCCAAGCACTTGGGCCATTTTTCTGCTGCTTTCCCAGGTGCATTAGCAGGGAGCTAGATTGGAAGTAGAGCAGCCAGGACTCAAACTGGCACCCATATGCAATGCTGGCTTTGCAGGCAGTGGCAGCCCAACAGGATACTTTTAATGGCCAAATACAACAGGATACTTCACATATCCATCAGATGCTGAGAGAATTGTCAAAATATAATACATCTATTCAATTGAGTATTATAAAAATGAATGAAGTGTTGATACATGCTACAATATGGATGAATCTGGAAAACACATGTAAAGTGAAAGAAGCTAAATGAAAAAGACCAGATACTTTATGATCCCTTCAATGTTAAATGTTCTACAAAGGCAAAACTATAGATACAGAAATTAGATGACTGGGTGTTGGGGCCTAGGTGTGGGAACAAGGAGGAACTGCATACAGGTATAAGGGATTTTTTTTAGTGGGTTGTAGTGATGGTTGCACAACTCAATAAGTTAGCTAAAATTATTGAATTTTAAACTTTTTAAAATTTTTTGACATGTTTGAGAGAGAAAGAGTGCTCTGATTTACTCCCCAAATACCAACAAACTGCCAGGGTTGGTCCCGGAAGAAACCAGGAACCCAAAACCCAATTCTGGTTTTCCATGTGGGTGGCAAGGACCTAACTTCTTTGCTGATCACCATTGTGTCCACAATTGCAGGAAGCTGGATTCAGAATCCAGAGTCAGATGTCAAATGCAGATATTCCAGTATGAAATGTGGGTATCTTAACTGCCAGACCAAACACCCACTGCTGTAGATTTTTAAACTGGTGAATTTTTTGGTATATCAATTAAATCTCAATAAAACTAATAGAGTCAAAGTGTCAGTAATATAAGCTCAAGAAATGGTAACTTTTCATTGTTGTAGGAATCAAAGAAGTGCATCTGATGAAATGGACCTTTAATGATGGATGATGGGGAGGACTTAGCTAGATGAGGAAATGGGAAAAGGAAGAAGAAACAATAGGAAAATAGTATGAGTAATGGGCTGCAATATAACTTGTCTTTCTGTAGAGCTGACAAGACTAAAGAGTCTGTTTTAGGAGATAATTGGGAGATAAGAAACTACTGGAATCAGACCTGAGACTGGAAAGGACTGCTAGGACATAGCTGACATTGTACCATTCATGACTAGGTAGAAATGTAGAGGTTCAAGGACTGGGTAATTTGGTCATGGTTAGGATACCACCTGGGATGCCCACATCCCCTACCAACATGTCTAGGCTTGAGTTCCAGCTTTGCTTCCAATTCCAACTTCCTGCTAATGCACACCCTGGGAGGCAACAAGTTACAGCTCAAGTTGTTGGGTCCCTGCCATCCACATGGGAGAATTGGAGTGAGTTCTCAGCTCCTAGCTTCAGTTAAGCCCAGCCCCAGCTGTTGTGGGCATTTGGGAATGAGAAATGAACTAGCTAATGGACAGTGTCTCTCGCCCCCTTCCCTCCCTCCATCTTGTGCTCTCCCTTTTTCCCTCTATCCCCTTCTTCCCTCACACAGTAGGTTGTTTTCTATGATTTCTCGAATTAAGTTCTGACTAAGCTGCCTTCAAGTCTTAGAAGTTATTTAAGTTAATAGCCCTGTCAACACGATACCCTCCAGTTTTCCAACAAAGTCAGTGAAGTCACGGGGAATCTCTGAATGTCGTCTTGAAGTTTCCTAGAATTTAAGATTCCCACCCAACTTGAAGTAACTCCTTACAGAGCTTTCTCTAAGTGATGTGATAAGATCCTGACCTTTTCAGAAATGCCTTTAATGTCAATCCTAATTCTGCTAAATTTTGCCTGACAGGGTCAGAATGAAACAATATCAGGTAGTTTGTCAAGCGTCTGGGTAATCTGTTGTGGCAATATCTTTAACTCAGTTTTACAATGATGGGGTATGGTGACTGACGCACCTTGACTTGGAAGGGACTTATTAAGTGTTTTACCATTGCTTAATGAAGTAAAAACATATGAAGTAGACCTTCAAGTGATAAACTGAACAGGAACTTTGGCAGACATTAGTGCTGCCTGCCTACTACCAAACTATGATTTATTTTTAAAATGATGACTACTCATTTTCTTACCCACATATACACAATGGCACAGTGAAACAAGTGTTTGTAATCAGCAGATACAGAATTAAAATATATTGCAGATAACTCCTATATGGGGGGGTTTAATCAGCTTTATAAAATTGAAAAAAAATGCCCATAAAAGATTAGAGTTGTTAAAGCCCATTTTCCTCAGATGACCTTTCTGATGTGAAAATTTAAGAACTATGTCATCATTTTCAAAATAAAAGCATAAAAGATCAAGGAAATTGAAATTGAATTTTTATTTTTTCAGGTACACTTTATGATTGGCCATAACAGCAAAGTAAGTATGTGATATTTTTGAGTTGATCATCCGTTAAGTTTTAGGATGCTTTTAATCTCTTCTTCATCAATGTGTCCAATTTCCAAAAATGACTATAAACATTATAGTTCGCAAACTGAAGAAACAGGATTATTTTTGTCTTTTTTCCTAATACTTCTGTAATATCAGTTTTCTTTCTGCTAATATTTACTTCAGTGTGCAGACACTACTTAGAGGATTGACAGAACAGGGAATACTGCTTTTCCTCAGCTTTTGCCTCAATGTAATGCACAAGGTTTGATCTGAAGTATTTGTTGCTTTTACAGACTAGCATGTCATGAATTTTTGTTTAAAGTTGTTTGCCATAAGTATTTTTTCGTTGTTGTTGTTGTCATTATCATCATCCAGGTTACATTTTAGCTCTTCATTCTAGACTACAGTTTGAGAAACCTCTTGTTAACCTCTTAATAGAATCATAAGGCAAATAACTAAAACCTTCTACTTTAATGTAAAAACAATACAACACAATAAAATATTTGGTGTTCAAAACCAAGTGAGGTACAAAAGCTGTAAGGGGACATGGCAGATTCCATTAGAGCTGTGTGTCCTTGAATTTCTTCCCCAAATTTCTAAAGGTTTCCCCTCAAAATTTTGAATGCTACAGTTCCAAACTTTGCCTCATGGTAGTCCCTGTGTGAGCAATTCATTAGTCAAGAATTATAATTGCTTAAAAATGAGTAATAAGTTATTGGTTTGGTAACACAAATAAGTCTTCATATCTTGGTGCCTAATAGCTGCTCCTAAATTACTGACAAATGACAGTAGATGGCAACCCCTGCACTGCTGCCACTGATAGATAAATCAATGCTATACTATTCTGACTTTTATTGTCTCTTAAAACATCATCAGATTGATTTTTAGAGTAGCAAGAACACAAAATAAATATACAAAATACTTTGCAATGAAGGAGAGGAAAATCGGTCGTCTTTGTCCCTGAGATTTCTAGTGTCAAAAGGGAAAAACATTTTTGAGTACTTTCTTCTTTCAGCACAAATCTGTTTCCTACTTGACTTTAAGGAATACAGAGCTCATTTGTTATAGAAGAAAAATCACAAAATTGAGAGGAAAAAAAAAACCCAACATGTTTGTCCTGCCTCTGTCAATAACAAGCTATATGACCTTAAATCACTTAAGTTCCATGTGTCTTAGTTTCCAGTTCTGTAAAATTGGATGGTTGAATCCAGTGAGTTTCCAAGTCACTTAGTTTTGATATTCTATAGTTTTAAAAGATGAATGCACATAATACCCAATATATTTTTAATTATATATCTTATATCTATGGCCTGACAGCAATATATTAATATAAAGCAACTGTATTTTAGGTGTTTTTTTAGAAAAGATATTTTAAAGGTAGAAAGACAAAGACAGGTTTTCCATCTACTGGTTTACTTTCCAAATGCCTACCACAGTCAGGACTGTGCCAGGCCAAAGCCAGGAGCTTAGAATTCAATTATCATTGAAAGTCTTTGTGACAAGTAGTGTAGTTAGATTTTACACATGCGTAAGCTTAGATGTAAAGATGATTTTGCTCAATGTCACACAGCATAATAATGGAAGAAATCAGACGTGGTCTCAGGCTCAACTTTTAGCAAGAATCAACTTTTGAAGATGCAAAGAAAGAATATGACTATAGAAATAGGCTAATGATAATAACTAGTATGTATATATCATTCACTCAGCAAGTATTCATGAACACCTAAATGCCATTAGAGTAGTAGTTAGGTAAAAATGAAATATTCCCTTATCTACAGTCTATGTGATTGAAACAATTTATAAAAATTGTAGTCAATTTTACTATCTTAATAAGTAGAGTTTAATGAACATACAGTATTTGGAATATTTTATCAGACACTCCAGTTCATCATTCTGAAATCAGTTTTATTGTACAGGGAAGTAGGAGGTTGGGATGAATACTGGCATTAAATCACTTCTTGGGTGATGAATTTGTTTTTCTTTCAGTGAATTCAAGATATCTGCTTGCTTAGTCACTGTGTTTCTTTTTTTCCCGTAAAATTGAGTATAGAACATGAAATAAAATGCTTCATTAGTTGAGCTTCAGTTAATTTAAGTTTTACTTTACATAAAATCCCAGATAGTAACACAAGAAGTCTGGTTGTCTTTTTGAGAAATATGTCCAGTTAGAAACATGGACTTCCTATATGATGATAGCTAAAAGACATCAACCAAAAAGGTGGAAGTAAAATATGTAATATTCAAAAAGGTGAAAGTAAGTTGGATTGAAGAAAATTGATGAACATGAGATATATCATGTTCCATCTATTTGCTGAGGTCTTTTGTGGAAAAGCAATTAGAATGCCTAATTTAAAAGGAACCCGAAAAATTCTCTGGTCCTCTCCCTCCTCTTTTATGTGCCACTATATAGTATTTGAATCCCTTCTCCAGTACTTTATTAGATGTCTGGGAACATCCAGAGATCTGAAGCAGCTATTCCACCCATGACTGCTCCTGTTCACACTTCATACTGAGCTTGAATGTGTCTAGTCACTTGTTTGAGCCATACAACGTATTTCTTATTCCCTTCCACTCCACAAACCTTTAGATATTTGAAAACAACTAGTAATGTCCTCCTTGGATCTAAGTTTTACTCTTCTGAATCTTATAAACTTTTTCTCCAGAAAGTAGTGCTGGGATCAGTATCACTCCTTTACTTAAAAGCTACATTATATTGATCCCAAGATAATGTATAAGTTCCTTATGCCATTTTAAGGTTCTGCTTCCTTTAGCCTTGATTCTCATTATTTCTCCCATGGAGGCTACAGTGAATTATTCTGGACCTTTTTGTTTCATTAATAAATCATTTATCTTTGTCTTCATCAATGCCTTCGCTGATACTTGCCCCTTTCTGGGTTACTCTGCTTTTGCTTCTGACACCAGTGAACTTTCAAGTAACTAATTGTCAGGCTCTTGAAGTAGGCAGGCATATAGGTTAAAATTGATTAGGTTTGTGAGCTGGAAGACCACCCCTTCGCCATGCCCTTGTGTGACCTCATGCCCCTACCTGGCCATACCTGAGTGCCCACTGGCCAATCAGGTTAATTAACCATTCCCCTTTGTAAGTGGGTTAAAAGCCTGGGACATGGTGTGTTCCGCCCCTCTCTTCTGTTTCCTGGCCTCTTGCCAGAGGGGGCTGGCTGTAGCCCTGTGCCCCCAGGATAAATGGCCTTTGGGCCACCTGCTCTAGGCTTCCTGGCCTAGATGCTTCTCCACGTGGCTGGTTCCTGGTGCTTGGTATGAACCCAGTTTTACCCCTCTCTCAGATAAAGCTTTCGCTCTTCTATGTATCTTTCTCACTAAATAAAGGCTTAAAATGTACCATGCTGCCTCGTTTATTTATGCCGGTATTTAGAATTCTTCTCTAAATATTAGGCAAGAACCATCTCGGCCTTATTAATATTGGGGATTTATTAATAAGCATATGGTGATATCGTATGGCACCCCAAATTCCGGTAGTATATGTGGCATCCCAGATGGCACTTCTGGGGAACTCTAAGGGGCCACATTTTCGTATAGATTTTAGGGGGTCATCTCCGATATCACTCTGATCAGATGTTCTTGCTTTTGTCAAATCTCCCTAAACTTCTCAACATACCCACCTCCTTTCTTCTGAGAAAATGAATCACGAATAGATTCTTATAGTCTTTATTATAGTGAAATGCTCTATATCATTTATAATGTTTTAGCATATTTAGTTTCATGTATTTTCCCAGGTAGAATGTGAACTCTTGAGGTTAATTATTAGGCCTGATTCATATTTCTTTTTTTTTTTTTTTTTTTTTTTTTTTTTTTTTTTGACAGGCGGAGTGGACAGTGAGAGAGAGAGACAGAGAGAAAGGTCTTCCTTTTGCCGTTGGTTCACCCTCCAATGGCCGCCGCGGCCGGCGCGCTGCGGCCGGCGCACCGCGCTGATCCGATGGCAGGAGCCAGGAGCCAGGTGCTTCTCCTGGTCTCCCATGGGGTGCAGGGCCCAAGCACTTGGGCCATCCTCCACTGCACTCCCTGGCCACAGCAGAGAGCTGGCCTGGAAGAGGAGCAACCGGGACAGAATCCGGCGCCCCGACCGGGACTAGAACCCGGTGTGCCGGCGCCGCAAGGCGGAGGATTAGCTTAGTGAGCCGCGGCGCCGGCCTGATTCATATTTCTTTTCCCTCGATTTAACATGTTTGAAAAAAATTAATGCATTAATGATATTTATAACATTATTTATTGGTCATAAGCCTTATTCACCCATTTTATAAAAGCAGACCTAATTTTGCTTCTCTGAAATGTTATGACATCTGCCATTCTATGGGTCTGCTGTGTATCTCACTTCCCATGTTGGATCGTTCTCTCCCTTTTTTATTCTATCAGCTAGTATTTGCAGACACTATTCTTGTTTATGTGATCCCTTTGGTTCTTAGTCCTATCCTTATGATCAATTGTGAACAGAAATTGATCACTGGGACTAGTGAGATGACATTGGTACATGCCACCTTGATGGGATTGAATTGGAATCCCCTGGTATGTTTCTAACTCTACCGTTTGAGGTAAGTCAGCTTGAGCATGTCCCGAACACTAGAATCTTGTTACTCTTCCTTTGAACTAGTGTGTCTTTTCCAAACATTGCAGGTCAATCCTCAATCAACTTTTCACTGGAATTCATTGAAAATTAGAAGATATTTCAAGACCAACTTTTATTTTCTCAAAAAAAGTGATAGAAGGTATGAGAAGTAAAAGTATAAAGGGTTGAATGGAAGCCTAAAGTCAGTTTCTTTAGCTAAAAGTCTAAAAACATAAATGATCAAATTCTGAAACACACACACCAAAAAACAAAGACCAGCACCTGGAAAAGCCACTTCACACTTCCAATATTAAGAAGGCCATGACCTGCTACCTAGTTCAGATAATAGAAGTTTGCCTGCCTCTCCAATTTGCTTTGGATGAACATTCCTTTCAAAGACTGG